GAAAAATCTTAATAAAACCATTTTGTTAGGACTTCCCGTATAATAATTGCAAGAATTCAAGGAATAATTAATCACCAAACCAACTATAGGTAAATACAAACAGTACCTTGATGTCTTCTGAGGTCACATATATATGATTCACCCGAAGATGAAGATTTGTGGCAGATATTGCTCTAAATTAAGGGGACTGGCGATTTGAGAAGTGTGAAGGCTGGAGCCTAGAGATGGAGAGGCGACTGGGCTTTTAGAGTTTTATTTTTCAATTTAACGTGTTTTCCTTTTTTTAAAATTTTTTTAATATAGTCGGGTTGGGTGGGTCGATTTGGATCGGGTTTAAGTTGTTAACACATAACCCGACCCGACTACCCAATCCAAAACCCATCCAAAAAAGACAAAAAATCGACCCAACCCAGTCGGTTTGGGTCGGGTTGGGCGGTTTGATCGAGTTGGTTTGGGTTTTGCCAACTCCTACGTCTGGTACACATTCTTTCAAGCCCTTCGGGGCACATCTCAATTGGCAAAGGACGGAGCTCTTAGTTGCTGGCAGTTCGAGGTTGCGAGTTCGATTCGTGGGGCTCTTGAAAGGCAGGCTCTCTCCTAGAATGCAAGATTTATTCTGAAAGGCAGGAGTTCTCCTGAAAGGTAAAGTGCAACATGTGTTGACTCACTCGACACTTTGGCAAATCAGTGGAGGGGACTTTTGGACCCTGACAAATTTGGGACACATCCCGGGGTTTACCTGCTCTGCGTCTTGAGGAACTAAGGCGTAGACCCCAAGATTAGTCGCCGAATGTGGACACTTAGGTATCAAAAAAATATATATTCTTTTAAACTCATTTTCAATTACACATTTTTTAATAAAATAATATTTACATCACATCAATAATTTTTTCTTACTTTTTAATTATATATTTCTCATCATATCACTATTTAAAATACATTATTCTCTCAATAATATCCATCAAACACACTTTTTGTTTTTCTTTTTTCCACTACATATTTAGAGTATTTCCAAGAGACTCTCTATTTTTAAAAAGCATATTTTATCATTTGGAGAGTATCTATAAATTTAGAGAGTTAAAATTTTGAAATACTCCAACAAGCTCTTTATATTTAACACTTAATTTTACCACTCCCAAAAAATATTTATTATTTTTCTTTATCTTTTATTTTAACTATTTTTTTTAGA